CTGGGTCGAGGGGCGGAGCGGCGAGCGGGATGAGCAGCCGCCCGCGCAGCGCCCCGGGGGCGGGGGACGGCGCGCGTGGCCGGCGCGGCGGCGGCGGAGGGCTGCCGCTCCCCCGGCTCCCGCGCGGGCGCCTGGCTCTCGGTGGCGCCCGAGGGGAGCGAGGGGGGAGGGGCCGGGCTTCCCCTCCCCCGCGCGCTTCTGCGCATGCCCGGGGAGACCGGCCGCGGAGGGGCCCCCGCCGTTGCCCTCCGCAGCGCCCCCTGCCGGGGGAGGCATTTGCCGAGGGGCGGAGCTGCGGGGGCGGCTCCTTCTCCCGCCGCTCCCCTCCCCCTCGGCTCCCCTTCTCCGGGGGGGCGGATGCGCCCCCCGGAATTTGAGCCCGACGAGCGCACGCGGCCGCCGGGCACGCAGGAGCAGCGTTCCCACGACCCGCACGCGGTGCCCCAGAGCTGGGCTGGGCTGCTGCCTCGTCGTCCCCTCGCCCGGGTCCGGCGAGGGAGGGGCGCTCTCGCCAGGTGCCGAGGGCGCTCCGTGGTGCAGCTTGTCTGAATCGGTGCACGTTTTTAAGGATGCTTCAGGAAGGAGGCGCTTCGTGTAACTAGGAGTGACGTCGGACACGTTGGAAATTGCTTCCGAGTAAACGTGTTTGGGATTGACCTGTTGGCGGAGTTCTGGCGCGGGGACCTTTGCACCGCACATGCTTTCAAGTCCTGGCAGTGGACTGCAGCGGTGCTAAAACCTTTCAACGTTGTTAACACGGGAAGGCCAACCTGGTCCCTTTCTGTTTGTTGCTCAGTGACTTTTGAAAACACTCCCTTTCCCCTTGTTGAACGTCTTAATTGCCGAAGAAGACACTGATCCCCTCTCATACTGGCAGCTGTCTCTTCTGCCCCTCCTTTCATGATTGTGCATGATCAACCAGACAACCACTGTTCCCTTCAGGAGATTTCTTTCAGACTCTCTGCCCTGCAAGCACTTCATTGTTTCTTTTGCTGCAAAGGGCAAACCTTGCCTAAGGAAATGAATAGCAAAACACTGTCCACTGATTTTCTGAATGTTGAAATCTATTTATGGACAAGAATAGAATAGCTTTCAAGGAAAATTAATGGATGCTTCTTAGAGAGGTGCGCTTAAAATAAAATGTGAAAGTATTGCCTTTAATTTTCATAAGTCAGTGGCTCTTAACCCCCCTTGGTGAACTGCTGGAACACTCTGCAGCCTTGAAAACTTTAGGAGACAATGCAACTCTCCTCAAATAACGAGAAGTAAAGTCAAGGATAAATATAACAAATGAATGCACTTAAATTGGGTTGTGGAGCGCAGCATTTCTGCATTGCATGCTGTATCTTACTTTGACATACAGAGAGCACAAAATGTGAGCATTTGGTTTTTCAGTAATGGGATCGTATACTTAAGTTCAAACTGAATTAAATGTTGCCTAGTATGCAGAGACCTACAGTTGGCCAGCAACCCACAAGTTACTAATATTTAGTTGCACTGTTTACTGTCCGGTGATGATGTTGTGCTAACATAAATAATGGCATGTTACTGTAAGGCAGTTGTGGTGCAGCACCATTGAATTAGTCTGCACAGTGGGTTTTCCTGGGAATACTGTTGCACAGGTTAACACTACGGGTGTTGCATTGGAGGTCCCTTACTCTAGTACAACATAATTTGCATTGGCATGATGATACAACTGAATTCTGCCCACTGCTTAATCAGTGAGAGCCAGTGTGACATAGGGGTTGGGCTGCTGCGCTGAGACTGGGATCTGGTGTCAAAGCCCCTTTTGATTCTTGACCGTTCTTCAGATTGGCCTTGGACCAGTTACTTAAGCTGTCACCCACAATTGTTGCACAGATAAAAGGAGAAGCTGCAGAAACTTGTGAAAGCCACCTTGAGCTCTGAAGTAGGGTGGATAAAATATAATAAAGGATGTGTAATGGCGATAAGCTTGGATAAGATGGAGGAGATGTAAGCTGCTTTGAGCCCTTTGTAGGAAAAAGGCAGGATATAAATCGAAAATAAATAAATAAATAAATAAAATGTGCCCTGTTGCTTCCACATAAGCCCACTGAGTACTGCTGCTTTTGAGATTTCAGTCTTCAATTATAAAAGTAGCCCCAAAATAAAGGCATCAAATGAGTTGTTTGCATGGGCGTTCTACCTACTTTCTTAGAAATGCTTACTTATTTCTTCAGTCAGTTGCAGATTTATTTCTAAGCCTGGTGGTTGCTCAAAAGTTTTCAAACACTTTCAGCACAATTTTTAGGATCTGTGTCTGTTGTACTGTCCTGATTGTAAAGCTGACTTGCTTTGTGGAATAAGACTCTTTTCTTCTGCCTTCCCACCATCCTGCCTGCTATAGTTTGCTGGTTCTGCTTCTGAGAGAGCTCGGAAAAGCTTTAAATGGTCTCTTACTTTATTGGATATGTTGCTCTTGTATATGTTCTTCCATACCTCTCTTCAGATATCAGATATCATGGAACAAGTTGACCCAAAGTTAGAGCAATTTGGTAATTGTTCTCGTCAGCTTTCATTTGTCTTTCATAGCCAATATAGGTGTTCTTTTTCTTGACCCTCCCAGCCTTATCAGCAGGAATCCAAGTAATGGAAAACATAAGGCACTAAAGTGAGGAGGAAAGGAAGGGACTTGACATAAACTGTTAGGACACTAGCGAGTGTCTGGATTCTTTGTTCTGTACACGGCCTGCCTTCTGTTCCTTTGAGATCTGAGCTGATAAGCGCCGACTTACCAAGAAGGGGATTGGAGTGGACAGTTTGATGAAGATGCCAACTCATTGCACTGCTGCCATGAAACAGACAAGTTCCACGTTAGGCATAACTAGGAAAGCAATTGAAAGTAAAACTGCCAAGGTCATGCTTCCCTTGCACAAATCTACACTGTGCCTATACTTAAGAGTGCAGTGTGCTGTTCTGATTGCTCTTCCCAAAACAGATACTGCAGGCTTGGAAAAAGTGCAGGAAATAGCAGCTAAACCGATGAGGGGGTGGGAGCATCACTCCTTTGAGGGAAGGTTATGGTATCTGGGAGTGTTTTAACTTAAAGAAAAGTCGAATGAGGGAGACATGATAAAGGCATTCAGAAGTATGCATAGTATGAAGAAAGTGGAGAGGGAAACATTTTTCTGCCTCGGTTATAATGCTCGGACCTGGGTTCAGGACAGATCAAAGGAAGGACTTCTTAATCCGGTGTACAGTTACACTGGGACGGCCACTAATTTGAACGACTTTAAACAGAGTTGAACAAATTAGTGGAGGTGAAGGCTGCCAGCGGCTGCTAGTCCTGATGGCTGTATGTTACCTCTGGGCTGAGAGGCAGGGTCTCTGTGTGCACCAGTTGCTGGCGGATGCGAGCAGAAGGGCGCTGTTGCGTTCATGTCCTCCTTTATCCCTCTCCACAGAAGTAGCTGGTTAGCTGTTAGGAGCTGAACGGTAGCTGGGCCAACACCTGATCCAACATGGCACAGTGTTCCTGCTCTCCTGATTTCGCTTCTAGAGTGAACCCACAGTGTGAACAGACGAAAGCTTGAAGGGATTCAGTAGGTATGAAAACAGGACAGGGAAGTTCAATTAAAAAAATGCTGTTGGCACCATTCTCTGCTTGCATATTGTGTGCTTGACTGCAAAGTGCTTGATTACATTTTATCCATAGAATAATGTCAGTAAAATACTGTAGAACTCTTAGAAACCCTGTTCCTCGATCACTTGTTGGGTAAGTGATTGAAGAAGTGGTCTCTGGCCAACGTGAGTGGGTCGTAGGATGAGTTGGATTCCCTGACCCAAGTGTGGGGATGGGGCTTGGCTCCTGGAGCTGGAAATGGAAGTGGAGAGCACGGTGCTGCCTCCCCTCTGATGTCAGGGAAGGCATGTGGAGCAGGGGGAAGGGGGCCTGCGACTGGGTGGGGCAGAGAACAGTCGCAAGGGTGCAGATTATCGTGAGCCCTCCGTCACCTCTCTTCCTCCCTTTGAAATGCTGCTTCTAGATGTCTAGCAGAAATGCCAGGCATGGAGACAGGCATGTGAAGGTCGCCTCTGCCACTCTTCCGCTCCTGCACAGGATCAGCCTCCAAGGGTAGGGCTGAAGAGCATTGCAACAGGACTGTGCCCCAAGTAGGGGTATGCATACAGTATTTTGCCAAAAAAAAAAAAAAATCTTTTTGGAAAGAAATCACAACGCATTCAGTAACATATATTTGAGCTTTTTACATGAATGGACCAGCAGTAATTTCATGTCATCCCCTAAAAATTAAAGTAGGAAACTTGTGAGGTATAGCAGTACATATGCACTGGCACAGTTGCTTCTATTTTTGAGTTCCAACACTATTTTTCATAGTAGTAAGATTCATGATCTGTGTCCTGGAATAAATTCAGATGCGTCTTATTCAAGTGCCTGAGCATAAGCAGGCATATATAGAGACACTCAGCATAGTCTTCAGTAATACCTTCCTTTGAAAGCGGACAATTCACTGTTGACTAGTGTATTGTGTGTATTACTCTGCATTGCATTTCTGTACCGCCCATAGCCAAAACTCTGTGGGTGCTTCACAACATTAAGCCACCATCCAGATTCAGCCAGGCCCAAGCCTGCCTAGCTTCCCCGATTAGGCAGAATCAGACTTTTCAGGCTACATGGAAGCTGTGTGCTCGCTGGACTTTCTTACTCATATTTACTTGGAATAGTAATTTCGTTATTATAATATAAAGCATGAATTTCCATTGTGAGAAGCTTGCAGGCCCTTAAAATCCAGCATGTTAAATTCCTCTCTCCCACGCTCCTCTCGGGGAACTGTTTGAGAAAAATAGACACATCAAACTGTCAGTTCTGAATAGAGGTGACACCATCTGGTTTGCAAGTAACTTTTG